TTTTTAAGCCAGGTGTGTCACAGCTTTCGAAACGTAGGAAGCTTTGGGTGCAGACAGCATGCCTTAGGTTTAATTGCAAGACGTGAGTTCATAAATTGCTTTAAATTGGTATTTGTGCTTACTTGGTATGCAGTGCAGGAGGACAGCTTGGGTGTCAGGAAACTTGGGTACTATTCCTGGCTCCACCACAGACCTGGTGTGTAACCTTGGGAGAGGAAGGATGGTCTTGTGGTCAAGACGCTGCAGAGGGACTCAGGAGGGCCCCCGTCTATTTCCAGAGCTCCTTCCAGACTTCCTGTGCAACCTTGGACCTGTGTCACTTAATCTTTCCAGGACCTTAGGAAAATGGGGGCCTCCTCGTTGCACTAAGAGGGAGAAGGTCATTTGTGCTTGTGAGAGGATACCGCGGTGGTGGGGAACGTTAAAATATCCTCCAAGGCGAATAAGGCTGTTTCCTATCTCCGCATGTCAGATTGCTTGTCTGCGAGGTGGCGAGCTATTTTTGCAAAGCGCTTTCAGATGCTTGCATGAAATAGAGACCCCTATCACAATTGAAACATCCATCATCTCAGGGAGGATGCGCTGGCAGCGAGGAGACAAACTGGCGGGAGGAGGGAGGCAGCCGGGGTGGTGCAAGTGTGCGCGCAGTATGTGCAGGGGGGACGCGATGCAGCTGTGCACCCGTGGCCCAGAAAGGATGCCATGCACGGCAGTGCTAACGTGGGGGGCCACGATGCTGTCAGCCTCCTCTCACAGATTAGCACCTGTGATCGAGGGCTGTAGCTGGCTCTCTGCTGTAGCAGGCTGTCTTCCAGTAAAGCCATTTTGCAGGTAGAGACACAGGTTAAACTCAGCTTGGGTCTATGCGGGACAAGGAGGAAAGGTGCAGAAATGATACAGATGGGAATTCTCCACTGACAGATCCTGGGAAACCTCCCTACTGTTATGGCCTGACATCCAAAGTAGTATAGTTCAAAGGAGTTTGAGGAGAAGTACTCCTAGGCCAAACTCCTAACTGGATAGCAAACTCCCACGATGCCTGACATCTACTTGTGTCAGACTAATGGGGAGCCTCTCTGTCCCTTCCCTCCTTGGGAACCACTTTTTTCACCCTGCTGTTAAGACCAAGCTTTCTGCCTGTGTCTCTGCTGCCTGCTAAAATCAAAGAAATCAAGAGCCTGGAAGAAAAAGACCCAATGTGCACTATGAGGCAAATTCTCAGATGAAACCTGGGGCCTACTGTCGTGAAAACGTGGTGGCTGATCTTGCTGCCTGCCGTGAGGCAGAGGTGGACCACAGACCCACTGCTGTGCTGGGGCTGCTGCCTGGTCAGCAGGGCAGGGGGGTGGGGGAAATGGGGCTGGGGTTCACAGCATCCTCCTGAGAGGTTGGGTTTTTTTCTTAGGAAGAAACATCCCTGTTTTTTCCTCCTGCTGCTGTGCCCTCATCTCCTGTACCAATTAATTCAACACTACTGGGGCTGCTCTCTGGCCCTGCAGCCGGTCAGTATGGATCAGTCTGCATCCATAGTGTTAAACTGTCTTACTCTCCCAAACACATCCACACCACCTGTGGGGCTCCTGTTATGTCCCTAGGAACAGCCTGGGACACTGCTAACTGTGAGGGCAAAAACATGGCAGGGACCACTGTAGCAAAGCAATGATATGGATGATTGGACTCCAGAGATCAGGAGCTGCTCAATTTAACAGCACAGGTGTATCCAGAGCATCTTAGTTTTTTTTTGCCTCACTCCTTGGCATAGATGAGGAATGCTGTGTGTCAGCAGTGAGGATAGCTGTGAGGGTCAGTGCAGACTCATGTCACCTGCTAAGGGCAACTATATAAACTGGCATTACTTAATTTAAAGCCTGCTCTGTGCATGGGTTATATATGACCAGGGTGATTTTTTTTCATCATATAAAACTATACCAGCTGAACAGCCAGTGTGGGTGCAGCTACACTGAAAGAAAAGTCATGTACATCAGTGCAG